GGCCAGGCAGAAGCAGGACACAACTCCTGCTAGTTCTGCAGTGTCGCTGGCATGCACCACACAGAAAGCTTGGCTCTGTGTGACACACATGCTCCACATGTGTAGAAATCTTTTTTTACCTGTTTTGGATGCAAGTGAATATGTCTGCAGGGAAAATTATTTCGGTCACAATAAATAGAGGCCTCCTGTGAAGAGCAGGATGGCAGGCAGCTCACTCTGACCCCTCTCAGTCCCGTAAATCACTGCATCACTCAGCCAGATTCAAATGAACTAAAATATTGGGTGATGGTCTAGCCTTTGCTGAAGCTGATGGCAGCTCTCTCACTGGCTTCACTGGGGGTAGGATTTTATCTATCACACTGCTAAATCACCAGAATAGCTTTTATCAATGAGATCTGTCTAGTCTTGGCTGAAATGTGCCTTACTGATTTTTAGAGCTGATGCCGGACAGTTAGTTTCAAAAGAGAGTAACAGGGAGTATGATCAAACACACTGCTCTGCCAGCACCAAGCATGTCGCTGCCCCTCTGCCATCAGAGGTGACCCTGCACTCAGGCACACCACATAACTGCACATGCAGCACTTCTTTAACTGTGCTCTATCAAAATGGTCTGACTTAGCTTAAAATTGCTTTTTTTGGTTAATTTTTTTAATATCAGATTGTTTTGGGTGGGTAGAGAAGCAGCTCTGTCTGTGGTTATCCTACAAGGTTGGAGGGGAGCTGTTTTCTCAGTCTCTCAGCTGCAGCAGAACAACATGTCTGACTAAAGGCTTATCTATAAGCAGTGATGTCATTGATTAACTCTGTAGGTATATCTTAGTCCCATTTAATATAATCGCTTGCTTGGGAAAAGCATATCCATAGAGCTATCCAAGATCAGTTAATGTGGTGCTTATAGTCAAACATCTGCTTTAATCTTTGTTAATTTTCAAGTCTAGATGAGATTCAAGGCTACCTAACCTGACTAGATCAGACCAGAAAACTTACAGGTTAGCTAAAGAACTCCTTGTAACTTGTTTAATCACGTATTTATATGCTGGGATTCTGACTGTGTCTGCCTATAGCCTTGAAGTCTTACCTAAAGTTGGGCCCCTGGGCACATCTGGGATACAAATGTAGCAACAAGGTCCCATTTCACTTGTAAGGGCTACTGAATAAGAAAGCTCAGCATTTACGCTCCACCTGACATCTTCAGAGTATTTCATAGATACGTGAGACTGGGGTCACTTTTACATTAGGTAGTAAGGGTTTTGATGAACTGCTCATTCAGCCATTCCTCTCCACCTCCCTTGGTCAAGCGATGGCTTCGGCTTCCTCCAAATGATCCTTTGGATTGGTTAGGCTCTTGGTTGGCTTTGCTGTTAAGTGTCTCCATGGAATGGATTTTACTTTTAATAATGTCTCATTAATGTCTTTAAAGAGGTTTATGGCTCAGCCTTATTCTCTGGGAGATTGACTATTCTCTGCTAATCTCCTATAGAAACATTGTTATGGTTCACACAGTATTTCAGTTAGTTCTCCTCAAGCTCTAGAGTCAAGTTAATTGGACACGATTGACCTATGTTAGAGAATTACTATTATATGAATAATATTAAGCAAAGGAAATAAGATCTTTCTGTACCTCAGAATATGCTGGGAGTTGTGGGGAGCGGCAGGAAATGGCAGCTCAAGAAGTGTGCAGACTGGCCCTAGGAACAGGGTTGATTTAGGGAATGGGGAAGTGCCTTGTAATAACTGAGGTTTGTAAAACCAACAGTTCTTTCTAAAGGAGAGCTAGATGGGGTGAAAATAGTCTTGAGTGTCTATAAGACGCAAAAGTACAAGAAAGAAGAGAAATAGATTGTGGCAGACCTGTAAGAGTGCTATTTTTGCTTTTTTTTTTAACAAACACTACACTGTCGTATAGCTACCAAAATCTGATTAAAGTAGTCAAGGAATAGATAGAGTGGGATTTCATCATAATACATTTGTGTTTCCAACTGGAAACTGCATGCTGAAGGCAGGTCCAGTACACTGAAAAAACGCTGAATGATTAATGGACATGACACTAGTCCACAAGACAAATACGAGCTTTGTAACATTACCAAGCAGCTCAAGACACAAAAACCCTGGAAGTGTTTTTGCAGAGCCGTTTTATGCAGAGCAGTTGAAACCCTGCTGCTAAATCCTGGAACTTTTGGGCACTGCTTCCCAATTTACTTTTACTCACTAACCCACTGGATGGGGTAAATCCTGGAATAAAATATCTATATGATAAAACCAGCCTATATTCCTTAGTACAAGGCTTTACAGTATTGCCATATTAAAATTGCCAGTCTCAAAACTTCTTCAGCTAAAGTAAACTTCCTGTGAAAACTATAGGTGTCAGCACTCAGTTTAAAAATGTGTAAGTATGTGCTTAACTCTACTGAGACGTGAAGTTTCACTGAGATCAGCAGCACTACTTAAGTAAAGTTACATTTGGAGGAGTGTCTTGAAGGTCAGGCCTCAAGTACGAAAGTACTTCAGATTCATATTGGCTGCTGGATAATACCAGCAGCAGGCACCTGGATTGCAGTACCAGTGACGTGATGTGATTTGCTATAGCAAATAATTATACTTCTATCTCATGGAAGACTGCGTTCTCTCTCTTAAACCTTAGGTATGTATTCAGACAGGGGAAAAAAGTTAGTGTGCCTAAAGTTTAAGTAGGCTTCTTATAATTACAAAGCCGGAGCCCAAGCTAATATGCAATCTGAATGTGTCCCCATTTTGATCTCTGTGGATCTGATTCTGCAGTCAGTCTTTCAAGGTGCACCTCTGATCCCTGCTGGACTGTGCAAGGAGTGATGCACTACTCTGGTTTCCTCAATTAGGAGTCCTTCTGTTCAGGAACTTAGTTCTGCAGCTGGAACTGGGATCACCAAAATCCAAAGATGGCTTTTGCAATTTGCAAGAACTGCAAAATCAGGCTCCTTGGGGCTAACGGACTTATTAAGGGGCAAGTGTTTATCTCTGCTCACCGGCACTCGATGAAACACTGGCCAATCTGATCCTGGAGAGTTTCCTTGATGTCAAGCCCCTCCGTTTCTCTCAGCTTGTCCTTGATGAATACTTCCTTGTGCCTCTCCTGGACCTCACCTTGCAGGACATTCATTTGCCCAGTATGCATCTGTGAAATACTTATTGCCTTTAAGTGAGGAGGTAGGCTCTAAAAATGACAAGAGGAGAAAAAAAAAGGTACGAATTAAAAGAAACTTAATATAAACCGGAATGCCAGGTTGACAGTGAACCCGAGCTTAAGCCTTAATTTATTTGCGGGAAGCCAGGAAAAAACTCTGCTCATAAAAAGCGCCTGGATGCACACAATGGTCTATTGTTAGAGTTTCAGCATTAATTAACAACATTGCAATGTACAAAAACAACCCTTCCAGCGTGGGATCCTGGGATCTCAGTGAGACAGGTGAGAAAGCTGCTGTTCTGCAAATGCCAACTTTATCCATGTCAGAAGGGTGCCAGAGATTTTTTTAATTGAATTTTCAAATGTTTGGACTTCCCATTGGTACTTTTTAATTAGCCAGTATTGTTTTTAATTTGTTCACTTAAATTTTCGTATGCACTACTTGGTCAGTGGTTTCCTGGTATTTTGTTGCAGCTGGTCATACTCCTATAGGAAATTAACTTCCCTTGAGGAACAACAACAACAGCAAAAGAATAAACAAACCCCCAAACACTATAATAAAAATCATAGCTCCCCAAGTTTCCCATGATTTGATAACCTTGGCAAGAAGGACTTCTAAGCCAGTTTAAAGTCTTACAATAATTTCTGCTTTGTGATTGATTTTACATGTGTACTTTGAGAGAGAAAAATGAAAGTCTTTCTGGTATGCAAATACAGAAGCATAAAAAAATACCATCTGTGTGGGTGGTCTGTAACTTTGCATTTTTAGTTTGCAATGGTTGATAAAGTTAAGATGTTCCCAGTGTTTTACAAGCTATTACTACCTTGTAAGTGTAGAGAAAAGTATATTTTAAAAATTAACTTGTAAATTAGCTTTGGTTTTTTTGCAATTCTAGAACAAAATATTTTCCCCACATACTTGGGGAAGTATTAATCATATTGTCTGACAGTGCATGTCAAATTTAAGAATGGAAAAAGAGGAGAAAATATGATAATCTGTTTTTGTAATATGGTGTTTCACACTTCAGAGTTAGTGACTCTGACATATAGGTGGCAGCATATGTGAACAAAAGCCTTAGGACTGTTGGTTTGCATGAAAAAAACCCTACACTATTCTGCTCTGGCCTTCCACCTTCAAAATGTATAGAATTGTCCTTAAATCAGCACATCTCAGACTAATTTAGTAATATGTTCTCCTCGCTCTGGTGATGTATTTTCTAGTGTGCTCCAAGTCCTAATTCCAGAGGTCTCCCGCAAAGACAAAAAAGCTTCTATCAAAGGTTTGGACAGCTTATATTTAAGATCTGTTATTTGGTGTTTTTCCATGCTTCGACCAGGTTCCAAAAATCACTAACAAGTGCCAAGCAAATTTGGTTTCAGAAAGTACACAGCGGGACTGCACACTATCCAAAGTAAGCGCAGAGGCCCTGTTTAGGAAAGCAATTTACTGCCTTCCCTGCATCTGCAATGTGTGACTTGCACTATGCAAAAGGAATTGGTCAAGGCCACCAGTGAGAAAATACTTAGGAGGAAACAAGAGCAGCATGCTTTTGAAAGGTGGCTGCACATGCTCTCTTCCTGAATATATGACCCAAAACGTTGCCTTTCACCCTGAGATGATACCTTCACTCATGTTTCACTTCCAATAGAAGTCAAGTGTTTCCAATCTTCACCTTCACCAGGACCTATTTTTAAGTATGGCACAGCTAATATTAACACTATTTATTTGTATTTCACCTGGATTTCACCGTTGTCTGCCTTACTAATATTAAATGAACCTCAGAATAGCCAGATATGATGATGCTTTCTCAGGGCTCATTTGGAAACCAGAGGAGGACCCATGAGGCTTGCTTCCCAGATTGAGATCTAGAAACAAGATCCATTTCCCTCAGGCAATTTCCCACTCAACTTTTGCTTCACTACAGTAATGCTCAAGGGACTGTTTTTCTGAGAAGTTCCCATCAGAGTACTACTGCCTAGAGGTATTGGTTGCAAGGCTGCTACTGAAAAGATGGGCCAGCTAGAGCCAACACAACTCTTCCATGTCTTTGTATATGCCATAGCACAGTCTGAACAGACACTGTGTTACACACAGAAGACCTACTAGATTTCCTAACTAGATGCTCACCAGGGGAAGCTGGGGAAGGGCTGTTTAATTTAGAAATACGTTTTCCAGTGAAAACCTGCTGAAGATATGTGAAAAGGGATAAGGGAAATAAATTTGGGAGCACAAGAAAGGGACTGAACAAGTATTTCCATGAGCAAAGGTAGTTGTGAATGCTGAAGATGTCCTACTGGGTGGGCAGAAGGCCTCCCCTCCCGTCTCCTTTGGGAAGTGACAGAACCCATATTCAAGCCTAGGCAACTGCGGTGCGAGGGGCACAAGGATATCTCCAGCTTTAGTGAGGCTGATCTGCAGCTGATGCAGGAAGACAGGCTCCTCTACAGGATGCAGCTGAATGTTTAAGTGTGAAATGTTGTGAGAGAACTCACCAGATGAACAGCTTATTGGTGCTGGGATGGGGCAGTTCCCCCTCCACCACTCCCTTCTCCTGTACAGGCTCTGGCACTCACCTCACCATGTGGTGAACCAGTTCAGCTCTCCAAGAAGTGGAAAATAATCCCTTTTATCTTTTCTCCCCCTCCCACCTCATCAGGTTAATTGTCTCCCAGTATAACAAGGTCAATCAGCCAGCCAAGGAGGCAGCTGAGGGCCAGAGCCATAGCAAGGGAAGTGGTGGGTGAGCATGGGACCAGAACAACGTGGAGAGCAGGATGGCCTGTGCAGCAGCACAGATAGGAGAGCTCCTCTTCACTATCTCTGAACCTTTCCTCTGTTCAGCTCCTCCTCTGAACTGCTCTCCATCGAGTTCCGAGGGAGCCTTTGGTGACCAGCTACTTGTCACTGCGAATTTACTATCAGCATACCTTTCATCATGTACCAAAGCCAGACAAGGTAAGAACTGTTTGAACTGGCAAGAACGTGCCCACATGAGCAAGACCAGAAGTAGGAGATTCTTATCTCTAAGTGCATTAATACAGACCATACCTACATTTGAGTCATGAAGCTGATGTGGACACCATGCAGGTAGCTCTAAACCAGCTGGCTCAGATGCTGATAGCAACAGGGCTGCAGAACATGGTCTGGTCTGCAAAACCCAGCCAAGTCCTGAGTAAATATTTGTGCAGCTACCTGTCTGAGCCACCATACAGTTATCAATCTACCCGCTGATACTAGTTTATGAGCTGCACTCAAAGCCCTAAGGCTGAAGTACAGACATAACCTTGTAGAACAGCTTATGAAAAGAAGCTCTGTTGTATTTGTCCTTCATGTTTTTTTCATTTTCTTTTCCAAAGACTGTTTTACTACAAGAAAAGAAAAGAAACAGGAACCGCTTCTACCAACAAGAGTCCAGCTACCCACCTTCAGTAACCCACTAAAGAAAAGAATGAAAGAGAAAGGGAAAGCTGGTAAGACTATATGCTCATTTGACTGTCTTTTTTCCAATCCTATCGATTTCTTTTTATTAATATTTTCTAAATTAAGGTACGTGGAAAAGGGTTTATTTACATAGAGGAAAAGGCCATTGCTGATGTGAAATGTGCTGTTGCTTAATTGCTTCCATCGCTGGGAAAGTGGAGCTGGCTCAGACCTAGATGGCCAGATAAGCTGGGGAGGAGGGTAGGCGTTGGAGAGGAGCCAAGAAGATAGGATGACATGGCAGGTACAAAAAGACGCTCGATCTGAGCGGGAGTTGGCGCTGCCAGGCAAGCTGTTGCGATGAGTAGCAGGGAGATACGTTAATAACAAATGACATCCTTTGAAGTTAGCCTAGCGGTGGACAGACAGTTGCCAAACCAGGGCTCCTCCTGTAGTGCAAAAGCTTTGGCAATAACATGCTCCAGCTCAGATGTGCAAGGGAGAGTATGAAATGAAGAGCAGAGCTGGCTGTGATAAATGAGTCCTGAAGGATTTGTGGCCGTCTAATGCGGAACACACGCAGCGCACCCTGTTTGAGTGAAGACCAGGAGGCCGATGCATGTCAGGAGCTGAAGGCTGGCTTCTGTTCTGGGGGAGGAGGCAAGCGCTGAACAGCAGTGAGGAAATCATGCCAAGGTTATTTGACTTTTAAGTAAAACATTTTTAAGTAAAACATTACAGGTGAACGTACAACTGGCCTGACTTTCCATTCTATTACTTTGACATCAATACAGTTACATCAATAAAAAATGAACTGGACTTGAGGAAAACATGAGGAAACAATGAGGAAATATCAAAAGAGCTTATGTGTACGTGGGCTAACAAGTGAAATGGAGACTATCTTAAAAACCGCTTCCTTGGCCTATAAGAACTGATCTAAGTGTACTAAAGAGTGTGAACGATCAAGAAAAGGAATTGGTTGGTAGAGCATAGGTAGAAAGTGAGAAGGTGAACTAGATAAAAGTTGAGTGTGGAGGCAGTCTTGGGTCTTCAGAGACAGAGTCTATATGACAGCCCTGGTGGAGTTTGTGTTCTCTTTTCAAGGAGTGACTTCAGAAGAAAGTATGCCTGAAAAAGGTTTGGCCATCTGAGGATGCAAGAGAAAATAGGTACTGAAATGGCAGAAAGAGTGCCAAGACAGATGGTCAGTGTGAGAGGATGGTTTCAAACAGCTCCAGCCGAGGAATGCCTTCCTGCTGGCCAGTCTTTGACCTGTGCCTTCTAGTATCGTAGATCAGCTCTCCATGTGCCCACATTCTTGTTCTGGAGCTCTAAACAGTTATACTGAGACAATATGATGAGTGCTGCTTTTATAGCCCTCTATACTTAATGTGCACTTTAAGGAAGACAAAAGCCAATTTATTTCTAACATCACTTCTCTCGGCATCTCTAATGTTCCTGCTTTTGAATCAAAGGGAGGCATTCTACAGTAAGACACTAATAAATAGCTTTTCCTTGGGGGAAGAAGCATTTTCCCATCTTTAAGAAATTTCTTTGGCCATGTGAAATTCAAATTTGTTAACTTGCCCTACAAACAGCAACTCATTTA